TTCAAGGAGAATGTGTCAGGAGATGACGGGAAGTCAAGGGTCAGCATGCAGAAGCATCAGTGAAAGGCTGTGAGCTGAGCAAAGGCAGCCAATGGGGAGCGCTAGCTTCATCTATTTAGTTTTCCTCTTCCGGCCTCCGCCAGCAAAGGGAGGCAAGGGAGGCCCACAAAAGAAACTGCCCCAGCCATTGTGACCCTGCAGGTTCTAACAGTACCTTTGGCAATAGCAGGAGAGAGCCGGTCAAGTCATCGTGTAGGGCCATCACCCAGGCAAAGCTCAGAGCCACGCCTCAACTCCCTTCTCTTCCCTGGTGTCCTCTGACTCCAGTGTCTTGAGAAGGTCTCCTTCCCAGTTCAGGAGAGTCTAGGTACTAACCAATTAGACGTGGAGAATGATTTTTGAAGTGTTTAGAATTGGAGAATGATTTTTGAAGTGTTTAGACTTGGAGAATGATTTTTGAAGTGTGTCAATCCTAAACAAGCATCCAGGCCCCCTGTGAGAGCACTGAAGGAATCTCTGTCGGTTCTAGAGCATTAGGTCACCATTCTCCACAGTTGAATCATCTGTGCTGGAGTGCTCAGCTGTTACCATCTGATTAGAGCTTAGAATTTAGGGCTTCGGTCAGTCGTCAGTCAGTCAGTCAGTCAGTCAGTCTCTTCCTTCCATTGCCTCGCCCTGAAGGCCCAGAGCAAGACTCATTTCCTGCCTACACTGCCAGAGTATCACAATTTCACGCTTTCCTCCATCCCTACAGCCTCGTTCTCCTTCCATTCTCTCTTCCTAAAAGAGCGATTCTGGACTTGAAGATCCTCACCATGGTATGGGACAGGTCTTCATGACATCCAGTTTATGCAAACATTCTCCCCCTCTCTCCTCTTCACCCCCCCTGGGGGGGCTGTGTTTGCACACACATGTGCATGTATGGAGGCCAGAGGTCAACAGTGGGTATCTGCTTCAATCACTCTCCACCTATTTTTAGAGACAAGCTCTCTCACCGGCCTCGCCCTCAAGGAGATCTGCCTGCCTCGGCCTTCTCAGCACTGAGATGTCAGGCAGCTGGCTTTTATGCGGGTGCTGGGGACCCGAACTCGGGTCATCGTGATGGTACAGCAAACACTTCACTGACGAAGCTATCTCCTGGTCCCAGTTGACTTTTGAATGTTTAAAAAGAAATTCGCTCTGAGGCTGCCTTGGATGGGTTGCCGGGCAGTAAGAACAGGAAAGTCCTGGGAAGACGGCTCGGTTGGTAAGTGCTTGTTCTGCCCGAATTCAACACTCAGAACCCACGTCCTAAAAGGCTGGGCGTGGTGACACAATCCCGGTGCTGGGGATGTGGATGCAGATCCTTGGAGCTTGCTACCCAACCACCGAAGACTACTCGGCAAGTTCCAGGCCAGTGAGAGACCATGTCTCAAAAAAAAGTGAATGGCACCTGAGAAGTTAGACCTGAAGAGATGCACATGTGCCCTTGTGTGACACACTTTTCCTGGGAAGATAGAACACACAGTGTACTCACCCCAGATAGGGAGCCCACAACAGAGGAAAGTATGGATACCACTGAAGTTCAACTTTATGTGCCACTGAGTTGTATTGAGGTTACTCACAGGAGCAGAAATGACTCAAAGCTGCATCACCAAAGCCTACCCCAGCATGGTGACAGCTCACCAAAGCTGCTGGAAATCTGGTGCCCGCGGCACAACCCTACAGGCAGCTCAACAAGTTGGAGAGTATCCTTTCCAGGTGCCTCAGCTGGTCTTAGCCTCTTCAGGGAGCGAGCGTGCACACACACACACACACACACACACACACACACACACACACACACACACACACGTAGAAGGAAAGACCAGGTAGATATTTAAGAAAGTTCAGACCAGAGATGATGGTTGCCAGTCTGGGGTCGTAGCTGTGTAGAGGGGGAGAAGCAGGTGCCTTTGAGGCTTGTCTTGGAGATGGACCTGATGGAGATGGCTGATGGATTGGATGTGCAGGTGAAGGAATAGAAAAGGACCCAGATAGCTCTTAGGTTTCTGGCTTGTGCAACAGGGACAGGTGTAAACATGGGAAAGGGGTATAAAGGACTTGGAAGGGGAAATCAAAAGTGTAGTTTTGAAGACGTTAAAGTTATATCCAGAAGCTATGTTACATCCAACTATTCCACTCATACTACCCTGGCTATCTTAGCCACTTATAACTTCATCTTTATTTTTTTATATGGAAAAGTGTGTGTGTGTGTGTGTGTGTGTGTGTGTGTGTGTGTGTGTGTGTGTGTGTGTTTGAGCATGCAGTTGTTTGATCCACTATTTTTATTTTTATTTGATTTGGTTTTTGAGACAGGGCCAGGCCAGCCTTGAACTCACAGAGATCCGCCTGCCTCTGCCTCCCTGGTGCTGGGATTAGAGTTGTGCGCCACCACCCCCGGCTGACCTATTGCTTTATGAGACTTAACACCTTTTAACACTTCTTCAGTCGACTCCAAAGGCCACCGTGCCCTACCCCTCCATTGCTTCCACCTTACTGCCTTTTTTTTTTCTTTCAGTGCTGCACATGCTAAGCACACGCTCTCCACTGAACTAAGACCCTGATTTCTCATACTGGAACTGGTAGTCGTCTCTTTAGCCGGAGCTCCAACTTTTGCAGGTTTTCAGCAGCTCTCTCTCCCCTCCCTCACTCTCCCCCATTATCCCAGGAGCAAGAGCTTCCTATTGAGCTCCCCTGCACACTGCTGCTCCCTTGTCTGCCCACTGCTACCATCCCAGCTGAAATCGGCCATTACTCCTTATCCAGACTTTCCAGTCTTTCAAATAACTCATTTCCTTACACATTGGTGTTGTAGAGTAGTTTTCTGAAGATTCTAAGGGGTTGGAGTCTAGCTCATTTGCCTGGCAGACTCGGAGCCCTTTTATCTCCCCCCCCCAACTACAAAAATGCCCCCCACCCCGTTTCCAAGGGAACGAGGTGTATTTTTTTTTTTTGTTAGCCTAATATTTGAATGGTTAGCCTTTCATGATCTGGTCCCTTCCGTTAAAATAGAGTGCCTTTACCCACTGAACAATCTTGCCTGTCACACTTCTTTATATGTTTAAAAAATAATTTATTTTATGTGCATTGGTGTTTTGCCTGCATGCATGCCTGTGTGAGGGTGTTGGATCCCCTGGAACTGGAGTTACACAGTTGTGAGCTGCCACATGGGTGCTGGGAATTGAACCAGGGTGCCCTGGAAGGGCAGCCAGTGCTCTGAACTGCTGAGCCATCTCTCCAACCCCAGTTCTTTGTATTTTTATGTAAGCTGCTGCTTCCAGTCAGCGTGCCCTCCCATCCTCACCAAGCACAATCTTGTACATCCTCTAAGATAGTCTCAAATGCTACTAAGAGTCCTGCTTAACCATTTATTGAATACTCATTACTTAAGTACTCAATGCATATTTTATTAGGTAAGTTAAGCACCTTACATTTATTATCTGGCTCTGCATGGATATGGTTTCTATTACAGTTGACTTATTTTCTCTATAATAATGCAGATTCCTTGAGAGCACATTGCATCTTTGAATCCATAGCTAAGCTATATACACTTAGTTGATGAAAATGCTTGAGTAACTGAATGATTACAGTGCTTTGAACTAGTTCCTGTGGAAAAATACAAATGAAGCATAACTATTCCATTCTAACTGGAGAACACATGCACACACCTAATATTGCAAGAATTTTAAGTATTGAGATAATAAATGGAATACTGACCGTGTGTGTAGCACAAAGTCAACCTGGAAGAATCAAATTCATATAGTAAAAGGAGTATTTCAATTTTCATTGTCAGGGAGACCTGATTTGGGGTTGTTTTCCCACATCACATCCTCAAAAAGAGAGTGACTTTTTCTTTTCAAAGTACATCTGTAAAGTGGGCATATTACAGCTTCCTTTATGGAACTGTTGAAAGGATTTAGTGAGATAATAACCAAAGTGCCTATCATAGAACAATGCAAATGTTTAAAGCAAGCTAGAATTTTAAAGAAGTTACATATGTGGACTTGTTTCAGAGGCCTCAGTAGGTCAGTTCAGGATGCTGTGAGTGTTGGGGGTCTGGGAACTGACCAGCTAGGCTTAGATCATGGAGGCATCCAGAAACCCCAAACTTCTGGTGTTAATAACAAACAACACTACCTGAGGACACACTAACACCCTGCACACAAAACCTAAAACACTCTCTCACCACTGTTTAGCTGCAGAAGCAAATGAAAGGAAATTTGGGAGGGAGCGGGGAGGGGAGTTGCATTTTCCAACCACTGGGGAGACATCCTGCACTTTCCATCACCGAAAGCTCCAGGACGCTGACGTTTTTCTTTGGTTAGATTCTACCCTGCAATTTCCACAATCTCAGCCAGTTTCAGGAAGGTGATAACGGATTTGTCAGAGTGGATTACTGGTGATATTGTTAGCTCTTAATGGACAGTGATGAAAAGTAGTGAACTAAAATCGCAGCACAGAATTTGCTGTCTTAAATTTTTCAAACCATTTGGTACATTAATCCCACAGCCCCTCAAAGCCCGTTCTTTGTATAGTCAGCTGATGTAGCTGGGTGGTGGTGGGTCCTATGTAGTTATTAAAAAGTTAAACATTTAAATGGTGATATTTGCAGATTGGACACTTAGAGAGTTGAGGCTCCCTTTTAGCGCCAAAACTTGAAACTACAGCTTTTAGTTTAGCTGGGACTCTTCCGCTACCTTACTCCCTTAAAACTACATCTCCCAGCATGCTCTGAAGCTGGTCTGACCTCATTTCAAATGGCCCCGTAGGGCAACAAGGCTGGTTAGTTTTGACCGTGCTGCGTGTGACATGAAAAAAAATCGATCCCAATTGGCAGCCATTTGGGCTTTTATATCTGTCAAGCCCCTTTTTTGAACTGTGGTCATTAAATGAAGGGATCTGGTCTGGGAGGGCCCATCCATCCCCGCAACTGGACGAGGGACCAGGCAAACTGTCTCCGGCAATCTAAATAAGAGGGAATGTTGACCAGGGAACACCGCTGGGGCCGATCTGAGGAGCAGGAACCGGAGCCCAGGCTGAGTCCGAAAACTGTCGGATCCAGACTTTGGCTCGGGGACGGTTGGAAGTGGGAGATGGAGATGCCAGAGGAACCGGCCAAGAGTAATAGTGGGCATTCGCTACCCCCAGTTTATATTTATAGTCCCGAGTATGTCAGCATTTGCGACTCCCTCGCCAAGGTCCCCAAACGGGTAAGAGAGGTCTGGATGAAAGACCATCGTTTTGGGGGATGGGGGTGGGGGTGTGAAAAGGGGAGTACAATTAGGAAGCCAGGAAAACTGGACTGAGGGATACCTTCAGCAGAAATTGTACTAGCAGTTTCAGGCACACCAAGCTGAAGCAGAAGGAAGTGGTTACCTTTGGGGAGCGCAGCGGGGCTGCCAACGTATGGGTGGGGGCGGGGGCGGGGGAAGGAATGGTGAAGAGGTGAACGTACTTTCTAAGAGGAGGGGTTCATTGAAGCCCTCGACCACAAGCTGTTGGGAGAGAGTAGTCCATCACTTGCCTTAAGTAAGGCTGGGAGCTTCCGTCTTGGCGATTTTGATACTTTGTATCTGTTTTGTCTTAAGTGGATCCCAACTGTTAAAGTGAAAGAGAAGAGATACAGTTGTTACTTCTTCCCGCAGGACGGTGTTAATGGGATTTCAGTCAATTGAACCTTTAAGAGACTGTTCTGCCTTTTTTCTTTTATGCTGATATTTCAGGCCAGTATGGTCCACTCTCTGATCGAAGCATATGCCCTGCATAAACAGATGAGGTAAGTATGTTGACCTTTCTGAACATGGTCACCCGTGAAGCCAGGTTTGTTCATAGTCGTAATAAATACTCCATCTTGTAGTGAGACTAACCAGGGGAGAAATGGTACTTTAAAAAAAAGCCTTTGTGGGAGTGTTCATTATATGTCTGTAACTCGGGAAAAGGTCTTGAAGAATTGACACTTGGAAAAGGTACCCAAGCAGTCACTATCTGGAAGAAGGCATTTTGTTCCTAAATAAGCACTTGTCAGATGCTTAGATCTATCTGATATGGGTGGGGAGGGGTTAAGCAGGGAAGTGTTCAGTTTTTGTTTTATATTTGGTTTAGGTTTTGTTTTATTTGTTTTCTAAAGCCGGATTTGAGGATGTGGGTTCAACTTGAGACCTTTAGATACGCTACTCCACCATCACACCAAACTTTAACCCAAGGAATCTGTTGAAACCAAGCCAGAACTTAAGAGCTAGCTGCATGCTTCTCAAAAACAAACAAACCAAAACCAAAACTAAGCGTTCTGTTGATTGCCAAGTCTGTATTTAATGTCATAAATGCAACTATTATGGACCTGGCACGTGGCAAATCAGGTTTTCTCATGACTAACCAACTCGGTGAGTGGCTGTATCATCTAATGTTTCATCTCCCTCCCAGAAAGCAATATAATAGGTTTTCAGATTTTTTTACCTTAGTATTAAGTAATTTTTAGTGTGTACATTCAGTTTTTGGTGTTTCAAGACAGGATTTCTCTGTGTAGCCCTGGCTGTCCTGGAATTCTATCTGTAGCCCAGGCTGACCTTGAACTCACAGAGATCCGCCTGCTTCTGCCTCCCAGGTGCTGGAACTGAAGGCATGCACCACCACCGCCAGGGAGTGTGTACATTCTTTAGGAATGTTTTGCTGTTGCTGTTTTGAGACAAGGTCTCTGTTGTAGCTCTGTCTGGCTAGGACCTATTATGTCGACCAGGCTGGTTTTGAACTTACTAAGATCAGCCTGCCTCCATCAAAAGGTATGCATCACCAAACCTAGCTAGGAATGTTTTCCCATCATTGCTTAACTCCTGTGTTTGTCAAGATAACTATTCGCCTTTCCTTAAAGGATTTTAACACTTTTCTGAGCCAGGTGGTGCAGGAACGAAACAGCTTCAAAGCTAAGCTTTGTAACTTAGCCAGATTCTGTCTCAAAATAAAAACTGTAACGGGCTTTAGGATATTGTTCAGCAGGTGGAACACTTGTCTACCATCCATGAGGCCTAGGTTCCCGCCCACAAAATTAACACTGAAAATCTTTTATTGCAAACAAGATGTTAAAGCAAGACATAGGAGAGGCTGCCAGCATTCTTGAGTTGGGGATTCAGGGAAATCCATGGGAAGGTGCTCTAAGAGGGAACATCCAGGGAGGCTGGGACTATAATCCAATATGACTGTGATTGTGAAAAAAACTGAGACTGGCTCTCTACATAGTCCAGGCTGCCCCGGAACTTGGTGTGGGAGACCAGGCCGGCCTTGAACTCACAGAGATCTGCCTGCCTCTGCCTCCTGAGTGCTGGGATTAAAGGCGTGTGCCATTACACCAGGCTTCTTGATATTTTGATTTTAAACATTTTAAACATATTTTTAATTAATTAATAATTTACCTTAATGTTTTGTTACCTTGCATTTCTTTCTTTTGATGGGTGTTGAATGGTGAGGGGTTGGTCCGTGAAGTGTGCATGTGGAGGTCAGAGGACAACTTGGCAGGAGTCGGTTCTCTCCTTCCACCACGTGGTTCTGGGATTGAACCCAGGTCATCAGGCTTGGCAGCAAGTGCTGGTACCTGCTGGGCCATCTCCCTGGCCCTGAGATTTTTATTTTAATGGAAAACTTTTTCACTTCTCATGATATAGACGTGTACTTGAACAAAAAACAAGGATCCTTGATTTTTGACTGTATATTTAACTTTTGAAGTTGAACCACAAGATTTCAAAAACCTTGGTTATATTAGTTGCATAACTATCCTTACCTGTATTAATTCACAATAACCTCATGGCTCTACTCCCATTTGGAAAATATACATGGCTACCTCTTTGTGGCTAGACTAGCGCTCCTTCAATTTGAATGGGCAGTCATCTTAAGATTGATACTAAGCCAGGTGGTGGTGGTGCACACCTTTAATCCCAGCACTTGGGAAGCAGGGGTAGGCAGATCTCTGTGAGTTCGAGGCCAGCCTGGTCTACAGAGTGAGTTCTGGGACAGCTAGGGCTGTTACACAGAGGAACCCTGTCTTGAAAAACCAGTGTGTGTGTGTGTGTGTGTGTGTGTGTGTGTGTTCTTTTTTTTTTTTTGTTTGTTTGTTTGTTTGTTTGTTTGTTTGTTTTTCGAGACAGGGTTTCTCTGTGTAGCTTTGTGCCTTTCCTGGAACTCACTTGGTAGCCCAGGCTGGCCTCGAACTCACAGAGATCCACCTGCCTCTGCCTCCCGAGTGCTGGGATTAAAGGCGTGCGCCACCACCGCCCGGCAATGTGTGTTCTTATTAGAATACAAATTGTGGTTCATTGGGCCTAGCATGAGACTTGAGCTCTGCCTTTCTAAGAAAGAAATGCCATGCTGCTAGTGTGTTGACTACCCGGTCAGTGGCAAGGGGTGGAGAACATACCTGCAGCAGAATCCAGAAGAGACAATGGGGACTCAGCAGGTTCGAGGCCCCAAATCCCATGTAACTTGCCTCCTTCCTTCTCTCATTTCCTCCTTTTCTCGCTGCGAGGAGCAGATTGAGAGGTTCTAGCCGTTTGGTCCTTCTGTCCTTCCTCTGGGAGACAAATGGAAGAGACCAAGTAATAGAAACTTGATGTTTGAGGACACTGGAGAGAGGAAGCAGGAAGTAGGAGCATTTGCTGCCGCAAGCACTAGGACGCAAGTTCAAATCCCCAGAATCCCCAGGAAAAGCTGGGTTGTGCCACACATACAAGAGTCAGAAAAATTGCTGGGGCTTGCTGATCGCCAATGTAACTAACTCCAGGATCAGATTCAGTGAGAGACTGTCTCACGTGAATAGGGGTGGGAGTTAGAGGGCAGGATGTGTGGCATCCTTTTCTGGCCTCTGTGCATAGACAGGCTTGCAAAACCCCATGCATATGTGCCCATACAGCACCACCCCCATAAACAAATACTTTCTACGTCTGACTTCTGTTTTTTTAAGACAGTGTCTTATAGACGCCAGTTTGGTGTGGAACTTGATGTGTAGCCTAGGCTAGCCTCACACTCATGATCCTCTTGCCTCTCAAGGGCTCTGATTCCAGACATTTGCCGCCATCTCTCACATGCTATCTTTCTACTGCCTTTTTCCGCAGTGTCGTGCAGATGTTAGGCAGCTGTTGCATAACTGCGCGGCATCCCCAGCCCAGTTTCCCTACTTTGTACTCTAATATTGATGACAGTTGTCCAGGAAGGTTTGCATGTAAGTCCACTAAGTTGACCCATTTTACAAACGAGAAAGCTGAGGCACAGAAGAGTCAACTCACCTGACGTTAACAGAAGCAGTAAGTACAGAGTGAGGGAAGGAATCCAGTTCTCGGGCTCAGAATTCTGTGTGGTAACCCAGCTGCCTATTAAAATAGACACAAGGGGATGGGGGAGCCAGGCTCGGCACCGAAACTAACACGGGTGACTACACATCTGACTGAGAGGATTACCTAGTCCAAGCAGAAACTCACTCAAATGTCAACGGCTTTGCTGCTTTGTTGATGAGATGTAACTCACAGAGCAAAGTTGATGTTTCAGTCTGTTAAAAATAGGGTTTTATGATTACTTATTTTATGTGTATGAGTGCTTTGCTTGTATGTGTGTGTGCATGTGTGCCTGGTACCTGTGGAGGTCAGATGAGGGGGTCAGATCTGGAACTGGAGTCCTGCATGGTTGTAAGTCACCAGGTGGAGTTGGGAACTGAACCCCAGGTCCTCTGCAAAAGCAGGAAGTTCTCTTAACCCCTGAGCCATCTCTCCAGCTCCAGAGTTCTTTTAATTTTTTTAAAAAGTATATATATTAGGGGATGTGCGGGCCACAGAGCACACATGGAGGTCGAGGGCACCTTGCCGGGGTAGTCCGTTCTCTCCTCCACAACATGGGCGCCAGGGATTAAACTCAGGTGGACAGTCTTGATGGCAGGTGCCTTTGCCCCTGAGCCATCCTGCTGGCCCAGGGTTAGTGGGTGTGGCTAAACCAGGGACCTTGATGCATGAGCATCTGTTTGAGTTAAATATAATTTTTCAGTTCCATTCCCTACCTAACAACTGAAGGACAAAGTTGTCCTCTTGTCTCTTATTAGTGGGGTCAGTATCATAGGAAGTGAAGACTGGGCCGTGCAGTGGAGGACATGGTGTGTTTATGGCTTCACTGGACCCAGAAGCTGGGACCTGTCTTTTCTCTTCGGTCTGTTGGCTGCTGTTTCCAGCGCCTTGCATCTGGGCCTGACTCACTCCCCTCTGTCTGCTCTGTTATTGTTAGGATAGTGAAGCCCAAAGTGGCCTCCATGGAGGAGCTGGCCAGCTTCCACACTGATGCCTATCTGCAGCATCTCCAGAAAGTCAGCCAGGACGGTGATGAGGACCACCCAGACTCCATAGAATATGGACTAGGTAAGGTTCTCTCCGGCAACAATGGGCGGTCAGTAGACTGCACCTGCAGACTGCATTACTTAATTTGTCACTCTATGTTTATGTATGTTGTAAGTATGTTTGCTTGTGTGTGGTATGCATGTGTCTGCTGGTACACAGGTGGTACAAAAGGTCAACACTGAGTGTCTTCTCTTTTTTGGTTTTTTTGAAACAGTTTCTCTGTGTAGCCCTGGCTGTCCTAGAACTCCTTCTGTAGACCAGGCTGGCCTCGAACTCACAGAGATCCTCCTGCGTCTGCACTGCCACCACCTGGCTCTGGATGTCTTCTTTAATTACTCCCCACTGCTGTGGGATGTCCTGTATGCTGTGAATATATGTTTCTACGATTGATTGATAAATAAAATGCTGATTGGCCAGTAGCCAGGCAGGAAGGATAGTGTAGGCAGGACAAGGAGAGAGGAGAATGCTGGGTGGAAGAAGGCTGAGGCAGAGAGACGCTGCCAACCGCCATGAGGAAAAGCATGATGTAAGGTACAGGTAAGCCACGAGCCACGTGGAACTTATAGATTATAGAAATGGGTTAATTTAAGATGTTAGATCTAGATAGCAAGAAGCCTGAGCCATGAGGCCAAACAGTTTAAATAATATAAGTGTCTGTGTGTTTATTTGAGTCTGAGTGGCTGCCGGCCCGGGTAGGACTGGAGAGAGCTCCAGCTACACCCCACCTTAGTTTTTGAGTCTCTCACTGAACCTCACCATTTGACTAGGTTGGACAGCCAATGATCTCCAAGAATCTACTCGTCCCCACTCCTCCAGTGCTAAGGTTACACATTCATGCCTTCTGTGCCAGCTTTTACAAGGGTGCTAGGAATCTGAACTCAGGCCCTCATCCCCTGTGTGCCAGGCATTTTACTTACTGAGCTACTTCCAAAACCCTTAATACTTTTTCTTTCCTTTTCTATCTTTATTTTAAATTGTATGTGTATACGTGTGTGCCTGAGTGTATGTGTGTGTACCACGTGTATTCAGTGCCAGTGGAGGTCAGAAGAGGCCTTAGATCTCTTGGAACTGAAGTTATAGATGGTTGGGAGCTGCCACGTGTGTTGTAGAATATTATTCTAAGGTGTGTTACTTTTGTTTATGCTGCATTTGTTTAACTCTGTGAAGCTGTGTTACTGTGCCTGTCCAAAACACCTGATGGTCTAATAAAGAGCTAAACAGCCAATACCAGGGCAGGAGAAAGGATAGGTGGGGCTGGAAAGCAGAGAGAATATACAGAAGGAGAAATCTGGGAAGAGGGAAACTAGGAGCCATAGAAGGAGGAGGACTCCAGGGGCCAATCACCCAGATACAATGTACGCCACAGAGTAAGAGTAAAATTTTCAGAAATAAGAGAATGGGAAAAGCCCAGAAGCAAAAGGTAGGTGGGATAATTTAAGTTAAGGAAAGCTGGCTAGAAACTAGGCCAGGCTAAGGTCAGGCATTCATAATTTTTTTTAAGAATAAGCCTCCATGTGTGATTTATTTGGGAGCTGGATGATGGGCTCCCCAAAAGAGCCAAAACAACCAACAACACACGTGGATCCTGGGAACTGAACCCAGGTCCTCTGGAAGAGCAATAAATGCTCTTAACTGCTAGCCATCTCTCTAGCCCAATACTTTTAAATTAAGAAATAATATAACTGGTGCACGTGTGTGTGTGTGTGTGTGTGTGTGTGTGTGTGTGTGTGTGTGTGTGTGTGTGTGTGTGCGCGCGCGCATCTCTGTGTCTGTCTGTCTGCCTGCCTTGTCCGTCTGTGTCTCTGTGCCTGTGAGTGTGTTATTCACGTGAAACCCAGGGCCTGGCATCTGCTAGCCAAGCACTCTGCCTTAGCTGTATGTCCACCCCAACTGTTCACTTAACTCCCTCAGTTTAGTCACACTGTGTACACTATATGAAGTGAACACAACTGAAGATGTGTCTGATGGAGAAGAATCCTTTTGATGCTGAGATTCTAACGGCAGCACTTAGGTCTACTCTGGCTATCTGCATGCTGGTTCAGCTGGTCTATAATCATAGGTTTTCAATATAGATTTATTTGGTTTGAGTCTTTTTTATTTTTTTTGAGACAGAGTCTCACCATATCACCCTGGCTGGCCTGGAACTCGTCTGCCTCTGCCTTCCAAGTCCTGGGATTAAAGGTGCATGTCAGCATGCATGGCATTAGGTAAATATTTAAATTCTGGCTAAGTTTCCTACCTTATCAACAGATGCACTAAAAGAAAATCACAGTGAATTGTCAACAGCATAGTCGAGAATAGGTGTGTCCAACTTGTAGTTCATGGGCCACATGCTTCCCCAGATAGCTATGAATGGGGCCCAACATATTTGTAGGTGACAGCAACATACTGTGATGTCAAAGGTTAGGCTAGGCACCCCTGTTCTAAAGAAACTGTGGGTTAATAGGAAGACACTAGATGAGCAATCAAAAGACCTGGTCCCAGGCCTGGTTCTATGTGACCCCTGGCAAAATGCATCCCCTCTTGGGCCTTGATTGACTGCTGATGGGATGTGAGAAGTTCACCTTGGTGGCTTTATCCTTTCTAGCACTAACATTGGAAAGCCTTCCCTCCCTAACCCTGGAGATGATTTTAGCCCAGAAGCTTCTTAGCCCATGCTGTTGTCACGACTTAACCCATCCTTCCTTCCCCAGATCATCTTTAACAGACTTTTCTGGGTTCTGCCCCCAGGTTACGACTGTCCAGCCACACAAGGGATATTTGACTACGCAGCAGCCATAGGAGGAGCTACAATCACGGCTGCCCAGTGCCTGATTGACGGGAAGTGTAAAGTAGCGATTAACTGGTCTGGAGGGTGGCATCACGCAAAGAAGTAAGGAAATGACCTTTCTGCTTTCTAACTCCTTCCTCGGTCAGCCTCTCAGTTAGATAACCTTGTACACTTGTTATACTGACTCTTCTGGGAACCACGTACGTGTCTAGCATTTTATAAGGTGTTCGGAAAAGACGCAAGAAAGCTAGATGACCTAACAGAGTGGAAGGCACTGCATTGAAAGTCGGGGCATCTGGGCTGTATGCCTAGTTTCCCTGCACACTTGGCCAAACCTCCCTAGGCCCCAGTTTCTTTATCAGTCAAGGGTCAGGGAAAAGGATGCAACTAGACAACCTACAGTGCTTGGAAATCCCGTCTCGGGGACTTGGCTCTAGAAACGGGAACGGGACTGGACTAGTTAGAAGATAATATAAATTATGACACTAAGGGGCTATGTCCAGTATGTAAGATGAATAGACTGTCAGTATGGAGAAATTAATCACGGAAGTCTTGGGAGAGGTGTGTTTCAGAGCTCATACTTGATATAAATGGGAAATGGGTTTTTGAATAAGTAGATCATTGATGAGAATAGCCATAGAACAACAAAAGGCTTCAGACTAATCAAGGAGTCTTTCACTATGTCCAAGGAATGTGCTAACATGGCTATCTATCTCTAAGGGAAAAGGGGCTCTTCTTGGGTACTGCTTGCTTAGAGAAAAAAGGCCTTTTAGAATCTCGTGTTTGTATGTGTAACTTCCTACTCTGACAAGAACTCCAAGCCGCCCTCCACATCTGGCATCTCATGTGCTGGGTTAGCAGTGCTTAATACTTCTAGGGAGGGGGGATCTCGCAACTGAATTTATTTATCAATGTGCCGCCTGGGTGAAAGAACGCAGCTGTCTTCCTGACTGCCAGTGTATCATTCGCAAATCAGCGAGAGCAGCCAACCGAGACCTTGATCTTCAGTCAAAAGAAAACAGCATTGGATTCTTTCAGACTGAAAGGCACCACAATTTTAGCATATGCAAATGTACATAATAGTATGGTGTTCTTTTCCAAATGGACAGATTTGCTGGCCAAAGAAGTCCTTGTGAAACTAAATAACTACATTCTCCTGCCTAGACAATGGAAAACTGATGTTTTTGTAATGATTTCACATGGTCTTAAACAAAGAGAACAGCTTGCTTTTGTTAGCTTTTTTTTTAAGTTCGAAATTAAAACAAGATTTTTTCTTATTAAAGCTGAAGGATGAAGAGAAGAGCAGGACTCTCTGCAGCCAGGCCTTCTCCGTCCTTTGGGCATGGGGAGTAAGGAAGCCTGGTGCTCTCCCCAAGCATGCCTGCTCTGGCGAGTGTGCCGTCGTTTCCCAAGGTTCCGTTGCTGAGGAACGGCTCGGGTCACTTTCAGACCTTGCCACCCCTTAGCCCTGGCTTTCTGCCAAGGGCTGTCCACTCCAGCGGAGTCAGCCGTGGCCGGCGGGCCGCATGCAGGTGTGAAGGGACTCACATGCCATTCCCTGTTGAAGACAGCTGTCAGCTGCTCCCGTCTGGAAACACACAGACCTGTAGGGACTGTAAATTACAGTTTCCAGGGACTGACTTCACTTAGGTCTCAATTCCAAGGTGTGCTGACACAATGAGAACCTCTCTGAAGTAGGACCACAGGCTTATAGGCTTACACGAAGCTAGGTGCTACCTGTGATTGTTACTGGAAATTCTGGGGAGCCCAACCTTGAGTGTCACATGGTACTGAGCAAATTGGGGTCTCCTCTTGGAGACCCATTAATTAAAGATTTTTTTGTTTTGTTTTTGGTTTTTCGAGACAAGGTTTCTATATGTAGCTTTGCGCCTTTCCTGGAACTCACTCTGTAGCCTAGGCTGGCCTTGAACTCACAGAGATCGTCTGCCTCTGCCTTGTGTTGGAATTAAAGGTGTGTACCACCACTGCCCAGCCTAATTAAAGAATTTAAGATTAGACTCGGGCTAGGCATAGTAGCATACACTTTTAATCCCAGTGCTCAGGAGACAAGCGGACAGACCTCTTCTAGTCCTGCTAGGGCTACACAGTGAGATTCTTTTTGGTTTTTCGAGACAGGGTTTCTCTGTGTAGCTTTGCGCCTTTTCCTGGAACTTACTTGTTAGTCCAGGCTGGCCTCGAACTCACAGAGATCCGCCTGGCTCTGCCTCTCAAGTGCTGGGATTAAAGGCGTGCGCCACCACCGCCCGGCGAGATTCTATCTTTAAAAACTAGATGGACTCAGCAGGATGCTCAATGACAGTGACAATTTTACTAGTCTTTAAAAGAAAACCCTTAAGGCAGGCAAGCTGTAAATCTTGGTAGCTGCCAGGGAGCATGAAAAAGAGGAAGAGAGAAAACTCATGCCTTTTGTAAGCCACCACAAGGCAGAAATGAGGGGCTGGGAATCAGGGGGAGGAATAACTTCAGAGAAAGAGTGAGAAAGCCCAGAGCATCTGAGGAAGCATGCGTGGGAGGGAGGCAGAGTGGGGTTTCTGAGAAGGAAAAGAAAAAGTGCATCCACTCATTAAGGGAGTGAATTGTTCCTCTCCCATTTATTTAGCATGCCTTTAGGTGGGCTCTGGGCTTTCCTTAATTAACTCACGTTTTGGTAGCTTGGACTGTTAATTTTCCACCCAGAGACAGAGATAGAGCTTAGAGTCTGGTTTCTAATCTCCACCAGATGTCCTAACAGTATCTGTTCTGAGGATGGTACCCTGACCTCAGTTAGGAGATAGGCTGGAATTAGGGACTGGGTGGACCCCATTTCCATCATGAAAATCAAGAGATCAGTTCCAAAGCTGTCTACCAGAAGCTCCTGAGTGTCTGGACGGGAGTTCTGCTCACACCCACACGTAGGTGATAAGAAAGCAGAGCTCCCCTCTGGCATCTGGACACTCCTGGAACTGCTGCTTCAGGGGCCCTGCCTGCCCTGAGCTGCCTGTCAGGTCTGTTTTCATCGTCCCGCTCTGTTCATTGCGATCACACGATCCGTTTAAACCCCAGGTACACGCGCAGAGTCCTAGACCCCGTGCGTGCAGTGGGTAAACACTGGGTGGCAAGCCCATGGTTGTGCCTTTAGTAACTGGAGGTAGGGGAATTGAAGTCAAGTCGATTTCTCCCCACCGAATTGAAAAAACATCTTTGCTTTGAAACTATTCCGACGCCGACAGGGTTCTGGTGGAACTGGCTTCTTGACAACTTTGGTGGTGTTGAAAGTGGGAAATGTGCTCGTACTTGCTGACCCAGTAACAATATTCTTAGATTCTATTCGGATGAAATCACCTAACCCTGCCGTCAAGAACTTGATATCTTGGGGACGATAGAGCCAATCACGGCGTTTGGAAGTTAAATGAGAGTGATTGTAGAAAGGCCTGCAGACGGTAATGCAGAACGGCCAGGGCGCCCAACTCGTAGGTGAACCAAGCTAGGGTAAAGAACACAGTGGCAGGAGACAGTCCCTTCCCGACGAGAGCAATTCTAAGTTGAATGGACTGGGACAGAAGCATTGGCCAAGAGCAGGCTAGCGGCCTGTCGGCTGAGCTGGGTCTAAACCCCTCGTTCCCGCCTTCATTCCCTCTCAGTGGCAACAGGCGAGCTGGCCAAGTCCAGGGAGTCAGTTGCCACACAAGATCCAGGCCTGTCGGCAACGGGGTAGAGCACATGGCAACCGTATCTAGGAGGAAGAGGGGGGCTCCAAGGCATTTTTATTACTCGCCATGCGTTTTCTCCCCTTGGTACCCTGTCCTATGTCTCCACCATCCCCCCCCCTCCAGAAACCCCTTATTCAGTAGCTCAGGATGATGTCATCTTCAATCACCTGGGTTTCTTCAGTCTCATTAATAGCAAGGTTTCAATGTATATAAGAAAATGAATAAAATGATTTTTCTCTGGCTAATCGATGGTTATGCTAACTCATAGCCCAACCAAGAACCTAGAAGAGATGGGGGGAGGCATTATTCCTTTCCCAACACAGACAGCTGAACAAACTGTCACTGGGGCTGATGCCTTACAAACTCCTACCTTCTTCCTTAAATATCTGCAGCTCCAGCTTTCCATGTGAAGGGTACTTTTACTGACAGCATCCTAGGACTTCAGTAGCATGTCTTTGAATTCATTACTTGGTTTTCCTCCATACAGTGCTGTGGGTCAAGTGCCACCTGCTGGCAGTCAACTGTTATGGTCTCTTTTCTTTTCTTTTTTTTTCCCCCCTTCCTTTCTCTGAGTAGCCCTGGCTGTCCTGGAACCCGCTCTGTAGACCAGGCTGGCCTGGATATCCACCTGCCTCTACCTCCCAAGTGCTGGGCTTAAAGGCATGTGCCACCACTGCCCGGTGACATAGATCTTATTTTCATTTTATTTCTTCTGGCCTCAAGCTTTCTTTGTAGCCAAGAATGACCTCGAACTACTGATCCTCATGGCTCTACCTCAAGTGCTGGCGTTACGGGGATCCAGCAGCATGCCTGGTTTCTGCAATGCAGAGTCAGACCCAGGGCTTCCTGCATGCTATACAAGCACTCTAGCACTGAGCTCTAAAAGGTTCAGTGCTGGGAATTGAACCTAGGACCTCACGCATGCTAGGCAAGTGCTCTATCACTGAGTTACATTCCCAACCTGGGATTTCATTTTCATATGCCCTAAAGTCTGTATGTGCATTTAAGATGATAAGTCTTATCTGGACACACCGTTTAGTATTCTATCCATGCATTTCATCGAATAGTTTACGTTGATTTATTTCAAAGAGGCTTCTCTACTGGAATCTCTTTACTAGTTCATCTATACTGATTTTTCCCTCACCAAATGACCACTTTCGAATTATAGTCTGTCAAGTATGTCTCCATCATTTTTTTAATTATCTTTTTCTTTCATCTCCTCACAATCATACGGACATAGTTTCTCCATGATTTGGACGCGAGAGGAGCATTAGGAACATTAGATTGTGTTCTCGTTTGAATGGAGCCTGAACAGAGTAGGAATGTGTAGCTGCGAAGCAGTATGGAGGTCACAGATGGAAAACTAAAGCTGGAAAGGGGTCTAGAGACAGG